GAAATACACATATGAGATATATATATATATATATATATATATATATATATATATATATGCAATACATGCATGTGTTTCTCTATTTGGTAGGCTTTTCTAGGATGGCTTCCCTCCTGTCTCCTGCCCACCTAGCAGAAAGCCAGGTCAGAAAGGTGACACTTCCTTCCCTAAACTGTTCCTCTGGCCAAGACATATCTGATAGTATCTTAATCTTCTGGATACAGGAGAAGCCCCAGAATCCCAGAACACACACTGAGGGCCACCAGCACTGAGAGCCACCAGCCATGCAAACAGAGCCTAATCCTTCAGGTTTTGAGTAGGTGGCTCCAAAACCTGACTCAGGATATGGGCTGGCAGAGGAAGTGGTGTTGGGATCAGGGAGGCAGGGGGCTCAGGCCTGCTGTGCCCTCATCCTAGAATGGCTCCATTCCTCTCTTCTAGTGGAACGAAGGGACGTCAGCAGCCTGTACTGCCCCCCACACTGCAATGTGGGCGCTTTTAGGGATAGTTTTAGGCATTCCTGGCCTATTCTGATGTCATGACTCAAACAGAAATCCCACAATTCCAATTCTTTCCTTAATCAGAAAGCTACACAGGCAGAGCATGCATTCCCCTTCACAAACTGCCACCGCCCGTACCCACTTCTAGGGGAACTGGCGTGTGGGAATGGTGCTCAAACACAGGCCTCACGCGTACACTCTCAAGACTGGTAATTCTGTGTTTTGTTGACCCTTCTTAGACACTCACCACACCTCTGCTCCCTCCGTCCCACCTATCTCATCTCTGGAAGAACCCGGGGATTCACATATGCTGGGAAAGCGTTCTGCCACTGAGCTACACCCCAGCCCTTTCTTTCCTTCCTTCCTTCCTTCCTTCCTTCCTTCCTTCCCTGTCTCTCCTTCCTTCCTTCCTTCCTTCCTTCCTTCCTTCCCTGTCTCTCTCTCCTTTCTTCCTTCCTTTCTTTCATTTGTTTTTTCCAGACAGGGTTTCTCTGTGTATCCCTAACTGTTCTGGAACTCGCTCTGTAGACCAAACTGGCCTCAAACTCAGAGATCCGCCTGCCTCTGCCTCCCAAATGCTGGGAATAAAGGTGTGTGCCACCACCGACATCAGCCCATCTCTTTCTTGACACATGACTTAACTTGAAGAAGAGGAACCCAGGCCTCAATAGATGGACCAAATGGAAGACGGGTTTAGGAGTGGCATGGGTGGTAGTGACTTTAGGGTGTGGAATTAGATCTCTACTCTGAACCATGGCTTCTAGCTGAAAAGGTGAATGGCCCAGTGATGTCCACTGAGACCACCTTCCTGCTCTCACTAACCACTTCCTCCAGTGACAGCAGCTGCCATCTCATGGTGTCAATAAACTGCAATCCTGTCTGGTTTTCTGTCTTCACTTGTTCTGTGTCCCAAATGGTGAGTGTCCAGGAGATTCTGCCTTCAGCTTCCCTTCCTTTCCCCACACCCTTCCCTGTAGGGAGCCTCATCTCCCAGCAGGGGGCTCTCTGAGCTTACAAAATGGGTTCTCTGGCTGGCACCTAGTCCCTCAGAAGAGGGAAGTGTGCTTTTCTTTCTTCACTGAGAGGGCTGCTCACATATTTATTAATCCAAACTCTTGGCTTCTTAGTTTCTTTAAGGAACTTTGGCATGGGGTGGGGACCTCTGGTCTGTAGGAAACCTCCAGAGAGGGGAGAGGAGGACAATGGCTTCATGCTCCCCCAAAGTGAAGCGGTCAGGGAACGAGCACATCTGTCTTTATCAGTTCACCATCTGTCACCCAGAGAGAGAGAGAGAGAGAGAGAGAGAGAGAGAGAGAGAGAGAGAGAGAGAGAACAACTCACCTCTGTAGTAACGACATTGATCCTTTCATGAGTGCACAGTGCTCAAGAGCCAAAGGTTGTCAGGCTTGGAAGAAAGCAACTTTATCTACTGAGCCATCTCACCAGCCTCCTTGCTTTTATAATGTTTCCCCACCCTAGAGAAGATGAGGTAGGAAACTTGTTCCCGTATATAGCTGGGAAGAGTCATTTACTATTGCTTTCCTTACTGGAGTCTTCGCCTTGTTAGATACAAGGGAATTAACATGGTTAAAGCTACTAAAATATCTATACCCCACTACACGAAAGGAAACAGCCTCTCCATGGCCTCCTTTCAGCTTTTAATAAGTGGCTGGGTGAAATCTTTAGGGCTAAATGGTCCTACATCAAGTGAGCCTGAGTTACTTGTCCCAATTTACTTGTGTGGGAAGCAGTGCTGACACCAGCCCGTCTCCTGAGTGCAGCTGTGTGGTGCCAGCCTTAATGAAGCCAACTGCCTTTAGTTGTTGATCTTTGAAACTTGTGAGATGGGCATATTCTGCCTTTCTTAGAAAAGACACGACTTTAGAGATATTGCAAAAGTCGCACATCAGTGGTCATGGGGTTGCAATCCTGTAATCCTAGCATTTGGGAGCGGGCATATTCTGCCTTTCTTAGAAAAGACACGAGTTTAGAGATATTGCAAAAGTTGCACATCAGTGGTCATGGGGTTGCAATCCTGTAATCCTAGCATTTGGGAGTTGGGGCAGGCATATAAGGATTTTCCTCTTTTTTTCTAAGACACTATGTAGCCCCAGATGGCACAGAGCAAGGCTGATCTTGAACTCACAGAGACCTTGCTTCTGCTTCCCAAGTGCTGGGTTTTTAAGGGCATTCATCATCATACCTGGCTAGGGATGATTATTAAAGGTCTTCTTCAATTACACAACAAGTTCGAGGTCATCCTGGGACTTTATGAGACCTTATTTCAAATAGCAAACAAACGAAAATAGCAACAAGATGCTGAGCATGGTGGAACCCTTTCATATCAGCACTTGGAAGGCAATGGCAAGTAGATCTTTGAGTCTGAGGCCAGCCTGGTCTACAGAGTGAGTTCCAGGACATCTGGGGCTACAGAAGCTCTGTCTCAAATAAAACCGGAGAAAATTGATGGAGCAGGATTCCAGCTGAGCTGTGACTCCCCACCACTGTGCTTCCTTTCTCCTGCCGCCTGTTATACTTGGTCCTGGTGACATTCAGGAACACCTCCCTGGGCCCACTTGTTTACAAACCAGCAAAACCGGTGGTCCACAACTATACACAAACCTTTTGCTAAAGCCACTAAGGAAGCTCATGGTTAGCCTGAGCAACTCTGTGAGGCATTGTCTTGAGGTAAAAACTAAAGAGAGGGGTATAGCTCAGTTGTGGAGTGCATGCCTACCATGTGTACAGCCCTAGGTTTTGTCTTCAGTACCCTATCAAAAATAAAGCAAAAAGTCTCCGCCTCCAGGGAGTTTCCAAACTTGAGTTTTATAGCTTGACATAAGTAAATAACATCATTCTTGATTAAATATGGAACACTTAGGTGGCCAGCTTCAATTTCATTCCATCCTGTCTATCATGCCAAGGCGTCCTTCCAAGCCCCAGAGCCCCGGCCAACTCTACCATCTTGTAGCAGTTAAGCTTTGGCCTTTCAGCATTGCCTTGAAGACGCAGAATCCATGCAAGATAAACTCACTTGGGGAGGAAGGAAACATCCAATCCGTGCAAGACAAGATTAGTGAGAACGTTTCACAACAGAAGTGGACAACGCTACATCTGGTCAAAGACTGGCAGGTCATCTCAGGAGGGTGTGCTTTCCTGTCTGTCCCTTCTGACTTCAGTTTCTCACATGCTGTGAGAGTCAGCCATGGGCGTACCTCAGGCTCTCTGGGGACGAATCCTGCCTGTGTCCACACGACTGCAATTTTCCTGAGAAAAGAGCATTCGGAGGAGGTGGGGCAGGAGTTGGGGGCGGTACTCCACGGCCACCAGGACCCTTTGTTTCCTAGTTAGGCCATCAGCGCCAGGCTCCGCCCCCAAGACCTATCAGTCAAAGGGAAGTCACGCCTCCTGTACCTATCCTGTCCGGAAACACTGTCGCCCCGATGCCGCGCCTGTCACTCAAAAGTTAGGCTCGGCCCCGCCCACTTCCGTTTTCCCGGGCAACGATTGGCTTTAGCGCCCCAGGCCGCGTGCCTGTCCGATCCCCGCTCCCGCTTTCTTCCTTGCTCGGGATCCTGGAACGCTCGGTCCGCCAAATCCCCTCCTTCCGCTCTAGTTTCGAAACCCTAAAGCCACACTAAGCCCGCCCCCTCACTTCCGGCCCGGAAGTCCCGAGGTTTTCAAGGAATCACGCGAGGTCTCTGCACCTCCTCAGTCCCGGTCCTGCGTGGCCCGGGTGGCTGCGGCCGCCCCGCTCC